ACCCCCCCACCCCAGAAGGCACAGCAGGGAATCTGAGAAGTATCCTGGTTCCGATTCCCTCCTCAAGAGTCTCCCTCTCAGGGCTATTTCCTGAGAGAGGGACATGCTCTAGCAACCAGCATCCTCCGAGACCCGGGACCAAGCCCTCAGGGGACAGGAGAAGTTAGAGTCAACGAGTGGGAGCTCGGTTGAGTGGGCAGAATCTTACCTTTCACAGTTTCACTTTTGTTCTTCCTGTTCCTCCTCCTTGTCTCCACTTGAGGCTGAGATACACCAAAAGAATGAGGGGCTGGGACCCAATTCTCTCCCTGCTTGTTTGGACAAGATGCTGACATTTGGTATTTATGAATAAAATGACTTTCTACATTTAGTTAATGGAGTTCTGTGTTTTTCCCTTTTAATCATTCTTATAGTGGATGAAAACATTTTGCTTTCCTTCTTTGAACAACTTAGTGAAGGATTTTCTGTGTGAGATCTAGCCTGGATTTCTTCAGTCACCATTCTGCTCAAGAAGCCCACAGACTCTCAGACCTACAGATGCCTCTGCTCTATCAGGTAGGATTTGGCTTTTGGAGGCCAGAGCTCAGCTCCAGCCCCTGATCAGAGGCTCTCAGGTGCTCAGTACCGCCCTTCAGATCAGCCCAGACACAAAGTGGGGACATTGCCAAGAGACACCTGCCACAGAAGGCAACAGAAGAACCAGTGCTGAGGACTCTGTCCTCTCGTAGCGATCCCAAACTCTCAGTAATCCAGTCCTCGGCAACTGAGTCACTGTGTTTGGGATTTTGCCTTGGAGCCCTCTATCACATGCAGACAGATGGTCTGAGATCTTCAGATACAAATCCTGGTGACCATGCTAGCCCCTGCCCTGCCTGTCCTGTCCCTAGAAGGCTGATATTCTATTCTTTCCTGAGGTTTCCCATCTCAGGAATTTCTCTAGTTGATTTAGAAAATGGAAATAAGAATAGGAAGAAAAAAGAGAGCGAGAGATAGAGAGAATCTCTACTGGCACTGAGTCGAGGGTCCCTTACCTTCTTGATGTTTATATTTTTCTCAGGTGGTGGTAAGGGTGGATTGCTCTGGAGGTAGGGGAGTAACAGGAAGAAGAGCCCCACTCCACACAGGAAGCCCAGGATGGTTTCAATGGCCCAGGAAGTGGAGCTGGAGCTCAACAATGTAGCACTAATGCTTTTCAGAGGACAGAGGTAATTCTCCATTATCTGAATCGCACTGTGGCTTTTAGGCAACTGAGCATCTTGAGCATGCTCTGGCCTATAAATCCAGGCCTGCATCACAGAGCTGTGCCCTCATCACAAAGGGCTCCTGAGGGTGGGGGAGGGGACGGCAAGAGGAGGCTGACCCACAGCCTCTCCCATCACATCCAGCCCAGCATATCCCTCCACCCTTTTGGGCCTTCTAGATCTTTCTACCTTTCTCTGGGTCTTTCAACTCCACCTTCTCATCCTGTCTTCGTACAATTTTCTATTCATTACACCTGTAACCCATATATTACCTGGTCCTGTTTATTCCTTAGAGATTTAGGCTGCAGCACTCTCAATCTCTCCCAGGAATCTTGACTATTTCACAGAGATTTTTACTCTCAGGATCTCTTCTGTCCCCAACTTCAGTTTTCCCACAGATGTTTTTTACTTTCATCAACCCAGAGGTAGAACTTAACTTCCTTTTACAAATACTTAATGTTGTACATTGTATTAAGTTTTTACTTTTTGTTTCCATCTTCATTCATAGCATCTGTCATGGTTTGAATTATGTCCCCCAAAAATGTGTATATCAATTTGGCTGGGCCATGATTCTCAGAATTGTGTGGTTGTCCTCCATTTTGTGATTGTAATTTTATGTTAAAAAGGATTAGGATGGGATTGTATAACAACCTTACTAAGGTCATATCTCTAATCCAATGTAAAGGGAGTTTCCCTGAAGTGTGGCCTACACCACCTTTTATCTTACAAGAGATAAAAGGAAAGGGAAGTAAGCAGAGAATTGGGGACCTCATACCACCAAGAAAGCAGTGCTGGAAGCAGAGCATGTCCTTTGGACCCGGGGTCCCTGTGTGGAGAGGCTCCTAGTCCAGGGGAAGATTGATGGAAAGGACTTTCCTCCACAGCCTACAGAGAAAGTCTTCCCCTGGAGCTGATGCCCCGAATTTGGACTTCTAGCCTACTAGACTGTAAGAAAATAAATTTCTCTTTGTTAAAGCCATCCACTTGTCATATTTCTGTTTAGAGCAGCAGTAGACAACTAAGAGCATCTAACACAAAAATTCAAACTAAAAATCTATTGTTTAAAATTCACATACTACATATGTATAACAAAAACAGAATTTCGAGTGATTTTTTTCAATAATTTAATAGCATTTATACCTCTAAAGTTTGAAAAGCTTAAACTACACAAAGACTTTTGGGATATGCTGTACACACAGAGACACACACTTTGCAGTACATGCTGTACGCACACACGCACACTTTAAAATGCTTTGAATCAAGCGTTTCCACCTTTTCTTTGATCTTTCGTAAGTTGTCCTGACCTTATTTCTTCCTACTCTGCTGAAAATAAAAGACAGTCCGCACTCTACACATCAAAATTTTGAAATGTGTGCCACACCCACAAGTCAGGAGTAGGTTAGGGTGAGCTAAGGTACTGTTATGGATTGAATTGTGTCCTCCAAGAATTGTGTGTCAATTTGGCTAGGCCATGAATCCCAGTATTGTGTGATTGTCTACCATTTTGTCATTTGATGTGATTTTCCTATGTGTTGTAGGTCTTAACTCTATGATGTTAATGAGGTGGGATTAGCAGCAGTTGTGTTAATGAGGCAGGACTCAATCTACAAGATTGGGTTGTGTCTTGGGTCAAACTCTTTTAAGCTCTAGAAGAGAGAAGTGAGCAGAGAGACATGGGGAACTCATGCCACCAAGCAACAAGAGCCAGGAGAGTAGCGAGTCCTTTGGACCCAGGGTCCTTGCACTGAGAAGAGCCTTGACCAGGGAAGATTGATGACAAGGACCTTCCCCCACAGCCAAACAGAGAGAGAAAGCCTTCCCCTGGAGCTGGCACCCTGAATTCGGACTTCTAGCCTCCTAGACTGTAAGAGAATAAATTTCTGCTTGTTAAAGTCATCCACTTGTGGTATTTCTGTTATAGCAGCACTAGATAACTAAGACGGGTACTAATCAAGAACCCTAGTGGCACAATTGTTAAGTGCTAGGCTGTTAACCGAAAAGTTCATGGTTTGAACCCACCCAGTGGCTCTATGGGAGAAAGACCTGGCAATCTGATCCCGTAAAGATTATAGCTTAGATAACCCTATGGGGTTCTACTCTGTCGACTCGAGGTCACCTTAGGATGACCTGGGGGAACCAAGTACTTGGAGCTGTTCATGGTCTTGAGCAGCCTCTGCTGATATCCCTGGTGTGTTCTATATGTTCTCTTTTTCTGAGTGTACTTTACCTTCCGCCTCTTGCCCCCTCCAGGTCCCTGAATCCTCATGTCTGGCCTGAATCATATACCAAAGGAGCTTTGAATCCTATACTAAGTTCCCTTATGACACCATTCTACATCCCCTCTGCAGGAAGAACTCAGAATACATTTAGGGATGGCATTTTTTAAAATATTATTTTATTGTGTTTTCAGTGAAGGTTTACACAGTAGTTTAGGCTTCCATTCAACAATTCAAATCATTCAGTGACATTGGTTACATTCTTCACAATGCGTCAATATTCTCGTTATTTCCGTTCTTGTGGTTCAGTTTCCATTAATCTAGTTTCCCTGCCCCCTTACATTCTCATCTTTGTTTTAAAGAAATTGTTGACCGTTTGGTCTCAGGGATGGTATTTCTTAATCACTACATGGTACATTTTTTTAACAGTCCATATGGACATGAGAATAATGTATATTCTCTGCTTGTTGGCCAAGAAGTTTTTATATAGCTTCAATGGGAATGAGAGCATTTGCTTTTATTTGGCTATATTGTCATGAATGTACATGCTAATCAACACATCTTTGCATCTACTATTGCTTTTATCAGTCTACAGTCTCTTCATGCTTTATGACATTGTCACTGTTATGACATTGCCTAGTTATCCCCTGTCTTAATTATCTACTGCTGCTATAACAGAAATACCACAAGTGGATGGCTTTAACAAACAGAAATTTATTCTGTCACAGTCTAGGCGGCTAGAAGTCCAAATTCAGGGTGCCAGCTCCAGGGGAAGGCTTTGTCTCTCTGTTGGCTCTGAGGGAAAGTCGTTGTCATTAATCTTCCCCGGTTAAGGATCTTCTCATCGCAGGAACCCCAGGTCCAAAGGACGTGCTATTCTTCTGGTTCTTGTTTCTTGGTGGTATGAGGTCATGTCTCTCTGCTAGCTTCTCTCTTTTATATCTCAAAAGAGATTGGCTTAAGACACAACCTAATCTCGTAGATTGAGTCCTGCCTCGTTAACATACCTGCCACTAATCCCACCTTGTTAACATCATCGAGGTAGGATTTACAACACATAGGAAAATCACATCAAATGACAAAATGGTGGACAATCTTGCAATATTGGGAATCATGGCCTAGCCAAGTTGGCACACATTCTTGGAGGACACAATTCAATCCGTGACATCCCCCAAGGTGGATAACTCAAGTAACTAGGGAGTATGGAGGGTCCTAACGTGGACCATTAAAGTCATTGTGTAGGCATGGTGGTTCTCAATCTTGACCTCAATGGAGGGTCCCTGGTGGCACGAAAGGTTAAGTGCTTGACTACTACCCAAAAGTTTCGTTTGAACCCATGCCTGGGAGACAGGTCTGATGATCTTCTAGAAAAGCCAACGGAGCAGTTCTACTCTGCAAACGTGGGGTTTCCCTGAGTCAAAAATATCTCCCTGGCAACTAACAACGACAGAATCAATGGGGTGCATGGCTGGAGGACTTATGACTGAGATGTGAGTTTCAATTTGACTTAGAACTCATGCTTGGGAATGCATAGAATCACCTTTCAATCACTCCTACCAGGCCACTGCTATATTGGTAGGTGGGCTTTGTGTGAGGGAACAGGAACTTTGGAGCAGAGAGAACTGGTCAGGTTAGCTCCACATTTAGATAAATATTAGTTTCAGGACCCTCTCTTCATCAAAACCTGTGCTCCCTTTTGGGGTTTTTTGAGACACTGATTTTCTGTGTGCGTGTTTTCATCTACGCACCTCTCCTTCACAGACTTTACTTTGCTAACAAAAATCATTAGTTTTTTTTTTTCCTCATCTACCTGCTGGATTGCTTTATTCTTTTCTTTTAAATTGTACTTTAGATGAAGGTTTACAGAACAAACTAGCTTCTCATTAAACAATTAGTACGCATATTGCTTTGTAACATTGGTTACAAAACACATAACATGTCAACAGTCTCCCTTCTAGACCCTGAGTTCCCTATTACTAGCTTTCCTGTCCCCTTCTGCCTTCTAGTCCTTGCCCTGGGCTGATGTGCCCCTTTAGTCTCGTTCTGTCCTATGGAACTCTCTAATCTTTGGCTAAAAGGTGAACCTCTGGAGTGACTTCATTACAGAGCTAAAATAAAATGGTATCCAGGGGGCCATACTCTCGGGGTTTCTCCAGTATCTGTCAGGCCAGTAAGTCTGGTCTTCTTTTGAGTTACAATTTTGTTCTACATTTTGTACCAGCTCTGTTTGGGACCCTCTATTGTGATCCCTGTCAGAGTAGTCACTGGTGATAGCCAGGCACCATCTAGTTGTACTGGACTCAGTCTGGTGGAGGCTGTGGTAGTTGTGGTCCATTAGTCCTTTGAACTAATCTTTCCCTTGTGTCTTTGGTTTTCTTCATTCTGTCTTGTTCCTGATGGGGTGAGACCAGTGGAGTATCTTAGATGGTCACTCACAAGCTTTTCAGACCCTAGACGCTACTCACCAAAGTAGAAAGTAGAAGAACATTTTCTTTATAAACTGTTACGCCAATTGAACTAGGTAATCCCGGAAACCGTGGTCCCCACAGCCCTCACCCCAGTAATTTGGTCCCTCAGGGAGTTTGGATGTGTCTATGGAGCTTCCATGACCTTGGCTTGGACAAGTTGTGCTGGCTTCCCCAGTATTGTGTACTGTCTTACCCTTCACCCTTCACTTATCTATTGTCTATTTAGTGTTTTTCCATCCCTACCCCTCCCCTCCCCCGTAACCATCAAACCTTATTTCTTTTTGTGTGTAAATCTTTTCATGAGTTTTTATAGTAGTGGTCTCATGTGATATTTTTCTTTTTGTGATTGACTTATTTCACTCAGCTT